GTCGCTTCGCACCTGACTTACGATGCCTCCCACCCTAGTGCGAGAAATCATCAACGAGGTGCAATGGTACCATAGTAATCCTACCCGGGTAGTCCAGGTGAAAAATGCGCATTTATCGTGCGGAGATCCAGGCGACTATGCGCAAGGAACACTCCTAAACACACATCAGTTTTTGTTTACTTTATGGCACTTTCCGAGCTTTTGGTTTCCAAACATTTTTTCTAAAGTACCGTATAGATAGAAACTGAAAACTATACGTAAGAGGAAAGCCAGGCAAACATTCGCAAGTTTCGAGGCGAGGATTCGTTCAATTAAAAGGCGTCTTGTACCCCAAAAAGTAGGGAATGTGACATGTGTCTAATTAGAAACGTTGGAGTGGTAAACTTGTCAAAATTCGAAACGGGTGGGCGTTCGATTGGGTGGAAAGAAATCTGTGCAAGAAGCATATTTGGGGAGAGAATAGACTCGACCTCCATTGTGTACAGGGTAACCGTTGAAGACGCTACAACTAAGTTCTCCCCGGAGGAAACGGGTGTTCTTCACTGAGTCGTTCATTGTATTATGGAAATCAGGTCTTGTCTGGATGATTAACATAAGCCCTTCAAGTGGAATGAACTTTAGGGACAGTGACAGCTCACTCAGCAACGTCCCGTCAGCGAGGATGTTCACAAAGCAGCTCAGAGCATATCTTGAAGAACATTTGCGTTCATCGGCTGGGCATGACAATGCTAGTGATCCCGACAGATGAGTTCTCTTTGTCAGACAATCGACAGGATTCCATGGAAGGAAATTGTTCTCCAGGAAAATAGCTTTTAAGTCAAGAAAAAAGGAGGATGTTTGGCCAAAGGTCTCGTTGTCGTTAAACAGGCACAAGCACAAGTTAAGACGCACAGGATCCTACTTTGTTTTCTGGAGTATAAGGCGCACCCATGCACAGGGCGTACCCTCGCTTCGTACGCCGCGAATGTTTCTTCCTCACTTGAATTTCGCGTGTTTTTGTTTGCTCTTATCCATACTAATGATCTTATTCAATAATAGTGTTTGTAAACAAATTGGAAGATCAAACTATGTAAAAAAAACAAGGAAACTGTTGCTGTGCCTATCAACTTTTCGCGCACGTTGTTGCATGCAACTCACTAAAATGCGCCTTATACCCCAGAGAACAGGGTTCAGTTGAGAAAACATAAGCATGTGTTTGGCTACAAGCAAAAAATTTATGATATAAATAGCTGAACAAATCAATGTATGCAGGAAGTACTCTCCACTGTCATCATCAAATTCGGGAGGTCTTTCTCAAGGTACTCACGTGACTGGGGGTAGGACAAGGTGGACACCCAGAGCGGCCTTTGTGATACTATGGAAATTTTTGGTGCATTGCTCGGGCCGGAACAATGATATTCAAAGGGGGTTTTCTGGGGATAGGTGCTATGCGTTTCCTCCAACGGAACCTGAATAAAATATCCATTCAGTGAGGACAACCACCGCTCACTTGAAACAACATTTTCCCGGAAGCTTCACTACGGAGGAGTGGCCTAGAAATACGCCGAAACTGAAGCTTCACTTATCCAGCTGGAGCCTCACTGTGGAGTACAAAACTACAAAAAACAACAATTCTGAGTGACCGTCGTTGTGAACTACGCTTGCAGGGACCAATAGGCTGTAGACTACCTACCTGCGGCGCGCGGCTGACCGCAAGAAGGTGCATTTCAAGCTTGTATGAGAGCATAAGGAAACATATGGAACAAGAGTTATAGAGTTTCTGCGCATACATGTTTTCTTTGATTGAAACCGTGGAAATCACGAAAAAAAAATAGAAAAGAGTTTTTCGTGAAACGGTGGCCGACTCGCGCCCCCCATATGCATCGATCACCTGTTGCCTTCTGCTAAATTCGACTAAAAGTCCTATATTATTGTGAATGAACCGCTATAGGAACTAATCATTTTTACATTTTGGCAACTGCTACACCTTGTGTCCATGTAGTTCAGAAGAATGTAGTTCATTCCCAGTGTCCTGCTCTTATCTGCATTTCGGAGCTAGAGCACCTATTTTTCACTGGAACGTAAAGCGCGCTTTTACCAGCCGCCTAGAAGATCGTGTCTTTTTTCTCGTCGTTCTGAAGGGCTTGTCCAGTCCAATCTTTAGCAGTGGTGACATTTGTAAGGCCGCATCTGTCCGAGAGTTGAAATGCGTCTCCACGATCTCGGTTGCTTGGAAGTTTCGAAGATGTATACTTGCGATGCACCAGTCGGCCAAGGTGGGCGAAGAACGGTCGCTGAATCTGCCAATTCGTTCCTACAATTACGCTTGGCGGAGCCAGTGATTGATGGCGAGAGCTGGATGCTCCAGTGGAACGC